ATGTAGCATGTTTTCAGCATCCTGGGACTGGTGCCCGCCCCATTATCCCTCCGCTCTCATGCCCTTCGTGTTCCGGCACCTTCTGATTTACAAATTAAGTACTGGTAGTAAACAAAGTTAAGTCTGTGTTTGCTTTTTAGTAACAGCAAACCAAAAGCTCTCTGTTCTCCTTTAATGCTTTGTGACTATTGGAACCAATTCATTTGCTCATTTAGGACCAGATAGTTTCCAATTTTAGGTGAAAGCAAATTAAGCTTGTTTGTGGTCCTTGTTTATCCCAGATTAATGACACACCTGTCATCTTTGAGTATTCCAAAAAAGAAGGCACACAAAGGGCTTGAGACAAACATCATATTTATTTCCCATTTGCTTTATATTATTTTAGAACTTGGCGATAAAGACGTTAGATAAAGAAGAAGAAATGTAAGAGTAAAAATAAATAATATTTCCTGGAATATTTAACTGGATAAATGACATATGATACTACATTGTTTCAGCAACAGCGTTCAGGTGTCATTAACACTTATTTCAGTGCTTTGAAGTTTTTATGTATTACAAGGTTAAGCTCATAATGTTTGTAAATGCATATCAGTGGTGGGGAGGGACTTTAAGGTTATCCACCAGTCGTGCTGGGGGTGTCAACGGCAGAGTAAAGGTGTTTAAATGTGACAGGGGACCTAGAGATGGCATTGGGTGCTCCGGGGGAGTGGAAGTCTGGGAGGGACAGCTTTACGCTCTGATGGAACAAGCATGAGACCAAGTTCTGATTCTCAGGGTGTACATGGCTCCTTCTCTGTATAATTCTGTGAGTGAGCGTTTCGTTATTAATGTCACCAACATAATTTCAGACTTTGATAACGTATACATTGATAATATAGGTCGCAAATTAAGTTTGTTGTCCTGCTCCTACCCATGTAGACATGAACATGCTGAACTGCAGCCCAGCACTCTCACAAACTGCTCCTCTCCAGCCAGCCCCCCACCCTCTACTACCCCAACAGATGTTCTTGCATGCTGGGCTCCCAGAGCCTTGCATCCGGCACTTGCACCTGGGTGGTACATGGGGGGAGGAGAGGGATGGACCGGGTCAGCCTGACCCACGAGTGAAAGGCCATCTGGATCAGCGCTAGATGGAGCGTTCGGGCCCTGGACCCCTCTACTTCAGTAGGCTTCTCCTCTCCTTAACACTCCTGATCTCCTCCAGGAAGTCACAGAGCCAAATGAATTTAGGTGTAACATGAATAATGAAATGCTGTGTTATTCACATCTGGATGTACGTAATTTCAGAATGTGATTTACAAAGTGCCCAGTTGTTTACGCCAGGGACCTGATCAACACAACATCAAGGAGGTACAAGTGCCTGGTGCGGAGGAAGGAAGCAACGTTTGTATTATTAGTACTGAAAAAGCGTTTGTTTGTCAGCTCCTTTGTCCTGCATGGAGCCAAAGCCGCCCATTCATGCCCAAAACACAACCCCCTCGGCCCCCATCTGCAACATCTGCTGTGTATGAGAGGTTCCAACACAAACACAGGCCACAACTGAGATCCCCAGCTCCAGCACACACAGTCAGCCGGGCCTCGCAGCTCGGTCTCTCCTTCCTTCCCTCCTCGGGCTTCTCAGACTCGTCATGGTCCCATGATGCTCCAGTCTGGGTCCTACAGTCCGGCCCTCGGAGTCACACAGACCAATTTGCATAGGAATAGCTTTTAACCTGAGCCAGCTGGACCCACTCAAAGGGCTCTCGTCCCTCCTTATCATCACCATGGTTGTCTTTGGCAGGGCCTGTGGATAAAAGCTTACTGAGACTCAGTCCATCCAACCCTGTCTGTTTGAAGTCCAAGTCTGGAGGTCAGATCTGGAACTACAGTAGAGATGCAGGCCCTGTTTGTGATGATAATCAATGGGCGGTGGACCAGACAGTGAAGCAGAGCTGCTAGGATTGGGATGATAATTCTTTCAAGAGTCCACACACAAAAAAAGTAAAAAAACTCCGTAGCAGAAGCAATCCCATACGCAGTCAGGGAGATCCTCTGCGTTATTCAGCTCCTGAGGGGCAAATCTTGGTGATTCAGAGCTGCTGCAAGGGTGCATTGACCAGCTGGGTGTGGTAGGGTGGGTGGGACACCACGCATTTCCTTGTCTTGAAAGAGTGCAGTGTGCTGTGAATGCCGTTACGTCAGGTGGAAAAAGAGAGTATACAGGATCCTGTATGTACCGTTTTGTGACCCCCTAACCCTCTAGTACAGGCACTTAACCCCCCCACAAACCCGAAGCTATAGCAGACCTATCATCATGCTAAGTCTGGGCCGCTCAGCCTTACAGAAAAGCAACACCAGGCCCAAGAGGATTATGGGAAAAAAATCTCAAGCAGAGATCAAATGTCTGTAAATTTCTATGTTCTTTTCCCATCAGGTACCATGTTAGGCTCGGTGACCAGGACTAACGGTCAAACTTGTCCGCGGGGCTAGAGCGAGGTGGTAAAATTCGCTGAGTGGGAGTGGTGGGGTTGTGATGGTTAAACTTCCTGCTGGCTAATATTTGCAATGCTGAATAGTGAAACGGCAGATTTCTGGGGCACTGAGCATCGTTCGCGGTTGTCAGGGAGCTGCTGTCAATTTGCAGGAGACTCCCATAACGTCCAGGATATAGATCCTTAAGATTTGTAACCCCTATAAGTGCCACCCTACAGCGGGACATCAATCCTAGTTCTGATGCATAAAAAATGACAGAAAAATTCAAAATTACATAAAAAATTGGCTGTAAATGTAGATTAGTTTGTCTAATCTAAACAAACTGGGAAAAGCCCATTCATTATTAGATCGAACTGAGTAGGCCAGCTGTAGGTCTTCTTACTGGAGAATAGACCGTTTCTGCCATCTAGTGGTGTTACTGGGAATAAAACACTTTAAATAAATGCTAAATTACTCTTTCACCTACTGAAATACTTTTAAAAAAAATAATAATAATAAAAAAAAAAGCAGTCACTAATCAAACCGAAATTAGAACACAAAAATAATGAGTAAATGTTTTAACTTGAATGGAGCATGAGCTTGTCGATGTATCCAACCTGCCCTTTGCTATTCCTCAGCAGAACTCTAAGTAGGGAATAGGAAATTTAGCTTTAATTTTAACGTCATAACACATTATTATTTCTTTTATTGCATTAATATAGGTAGTATTTTGATGTCCAAATGAGAGGAGAGATTTTTGATAGAGAACCATAATGTTCAAATCAGTTTCAAATATCCTATATATACCATGTTATAAAATTATAATCTTTGATTTTATTTTATGATGCTGATAAGATCATTTTGGTTTAAAACTTATATTTTCAGCTTGAATCCAAACCCTTATGTCTGACATTATACAAAGATAATATGCACAATGTTGCAGTTGATAAAATAGAATAAAAATTATGGAAGTTAATTGCTGCACAAGATGTCTTGGTCCTGCCTCCTATGCAATCTGATTGGGAACATTTTTCTGTAAGTAAAACCCTCACAATGGTTTGAATAAATCTTGATTTTGAATCTTAACTATGAAGAGTTGAGTTTTTTTCTGTTTGAGAAAAACTAAGATTTCATATTGGACAATTCCATAAGAGGGCATACAGGAAGGTCTGCAGAGCTATAACCCGAGTGTCATGCATGTCAGTATCTGATTATCTGCACTTGCTTATTGTCTCCTAACAGAGTTTGGCGGATCCATCCCAAGATGATGAGGATCCAACCACCCTGACATGAACCTTCTCCCAATGTTTTCTGTATACATGAAAGTATGAAATTTAGAGCCTCAGGCAATACTGGACTGGAATAATAATCAGTCCTGGGCTTTGGGGTCCCTCGGGGGGGGGGATGTCGGTCAGGGGGGATGGGGGACATGTACCCATAATATTAAATTTGACTTTATTCGTCTTTCCCAAAAAAAATAGACCATTACATTTAAATTAAGTTGTGCCCCCCCCCTCACCTCCCAATATCAAACTCTCCTACTCTCTGGCCCCTCTATAATTTTTTTCCAGCCCACATTCCATTAACTCACTTGGAAAACTCCTGCCATGCTAGATGGCCAGTTCTGCCCGGTCTTAGGAATAACAAAATGATGTTTTTCTAGTTACCTGTTGATAGAAAATCAATTAAAAGTGTGATCTCCAGATGGAGCCCATTAATCTTTCTAAATAAGCTAGTTTAGAAATTGAACAGCTGGAATGCCCATTTTAATGGTGAGATTCGTGGTTATCAAAAGATCGATGATTCTTAATTGCTGTGAAATGAAGCCCACGCCGATACCGGTACCAGGCTGAGTGCTTACAGTCCTCTCAGCTAGGGCTGTCACAATATCAGATATTCAGTACATGATTGTGGGCAAAAGAATCCACGGCAACGATCGACCCCCCTAATCTCAGCCCTAGTACCCATACATTTCCATATGAATTTAAGCTACAAATTGAGAAGCACATATTTGCCCTGAGCAATACAGTACAGTGCACATTCCCTATAAATCTGAGTCAGGGACAGAGTTGGCCATTTTGTATTCAGAGCATCATTTACACAGTCAGAGGGGACAGTAGGAGGTCAAAAAAAAAGGGGAAGCCTCAAACTGTTCTGACTCAAACTAAAACCTGCAAGGTGGTGGAACCATGCTTTACTTTAGCAAAGTGTTCAGAATCCCCTGAAGTACAAGTGTCCAACTGGAAAACCTAAAGGTGAAGCAAGGTTGAGTGCAAGTCTATGGCGTGTTTGAAGTGAGACACTGAAATCAGGAATTCTGCTTTCAAAACAAACCGATTCCAGGAAGGGGGGTGTCCCTGTGAATAGTGGCTGCCCAATCAGGTGCACCAGAAAATAAGTGTTTCCTCATCTGCTAGTGTGAAGCACAATGAGGAGTGTCCATCTCTTGAACAAAATGCCCAAAATCACTGCTTGAGGATCCCAGTTAAATGGGCGGGGGGGGGTTGGTTTTGAACAAGAGACTAATTGATACCAAGAACAGTCACAGCTGATGTTTTAAATGCATTTATTTAGACACTCCATGAAAGATGTCAACAGGTCACATTAATATTCCTCCTCTTCTTCCTCACCACAGTCTGCAGAATCAGCACCTACTTCCTCATAATCCTTCTCGAGGGCTGCCATGTCTTCCCGGGCCTCGGAGAACTCCCCTTCCTCCATGCCCTCCCCGACATACCAGTGAACGAAGGCGCGCTTCGCATACATGAGGTCGAACTTGTGATCCAAGCGGCTCCAGGCCTCTGCGATGGCAGTGGTGTTGCTCAGCATGCACACAGCCCTCTGGACCTTGGCTAGATCTCCACCGGGCACCACAGTTGGTGGCTGATAGTTGATACCCACTTTAAAGCCTGTGGGACACCAGTCCACAAACTGGATGGAGCGGCGAGTCTTGATGTTGGCGATGGCAGCGTTGACATCCTTCGGCACCACATCGCCTCGGTACAGCAGGCAGCAGGCCATGTACTTGCCGCGGCGGGGGTCACACTTCACCATCTGGTTAGCAGGCTCGAAACAGGCATTAGTGATCTCAGGCACAGACAGCTGTTCGTGGTATGCTTTCTCAGCAGAAATTATGGGAGCATAGGTCACCAAGGGGAAGTGGATGCGAGGGTAGGGCACTAGGTTTGTCTGGAACTCTGTGAGGTCGACATTCAGAGCACCATCAAAGCGCAGGGAAGCTGTGATTGAGGACACAATCTGGGCAATCAACCGGTTGAGGTTGGTGTAAGAAGGACGCTCAACATTGAGGTTGCGCATGCAGATGTCAAAGATGGCCTCATTGTCCACCATGAAAGAGCAATCCGAGTGTTCCAGAGTAGTATGGGTTGTCAGGATTGAGTTGTAGGGCTCCACCACTGCTGTGGATACCTGGGGGGCTGGGTAGACCGAGAACTCCAGCTTGGACTTCTTGCCATAGTCCACAGAAAGACGCTCCATCAGCAAGGAGGTGAAGCCAGATCCTGTCCCTCCACCAAAACTGTGGAAGATGAGGAAGCCCTGAAGCCCAGTGCACTGGTCAGCCTGAAAGACAGTCTTAGTCAGGTTTCAACCAAAAGCACCACACAATAGTGCAACCTCTACTCACCATTTTGCGCATACGATCAAGTACAGAGTCCACGATCTCCTTGCCTATTGTGTAATGGCCACGAGCATAGTTATTGGCAGCGTCCTCCTTACCACTGATTAGCTGCTCTGGGTGGTACAACTGTCTGTAGTGCCCATTTCGAATTTCATCTAAGACACATGATTGTACAGATAGTCCGACCAAATAAACCATCATACCAATACATGATTTAGTTTAGAACTAGAAGCTATCAAGAAAGCAAGTATCATAAGAACCCTTATGATGAAGGTCCCTTACCTACAACAGTGGGCTCCAGGTCTATGAAAACAGCTCTTGGGACAAATTTACCTGCACCAGTTTCACTAAAAAAAGTTCCAAAGGAAGAATCTGTCTGGCTAGAGCCACCTGCTGCAATTGTTCCATCAGGCTGCAGACCATGTTCAAGGCAATACAGCTCCCAGCATGCATTGCCCATCTGAATACCAGCTTGGCCAATGTGAACGGAAATGCATTCCCTCTGAATAAACAGTTCATGCACCACTGGTTAAAGATCATGAAACAAACCTTAAGCAAAAACTAAACCAAAGTAAGGCTGAAACATGAAGACAGTATGTTGAATGCATCAAATGCATGTAACCCTTCTAGGTTCATCAGGATAGTTTAAAAACACAGAACACTTACCATTTTACACTAAACAGTCAAGACTGACAATACTTGAGCCAAAACACCTAAAGAGGAAACAAAAACCAGATACAAGAGAAAATTAATCTGACAAGCAAAACAAAAACTATTCAAGCCATCTTCCAAACACAGCCCCAACTCACCTGTACTGCAGAATCAATGTGATTAACCAGAAGGTTCCTTATATAAAGAACTCCATAACCCCGCCTCTGACCTGCTTAGGAGGTGTGGCTTTGTGTCAAAGAGTTTAAAATCAATTACAATAAATAATTACTACAGTTACTGCTTTATTAAACTTGAAGAAAGCCAATCAGCATACAAACTTCAGATGCAAACTGAATTCCGAAACATTTAATTTTTTATTTGAAGATGTAAAGCACCTTCTTTCACAAACTAATTGTTGCCAAGAGATCCTTAATGAGGAACCTTAATTGCTTATCACCTGAATCAAGATTACCTCATTTGCAGTTGTAATCAGTTGTTTGCACTGATATGGAACCTGTGTCATGAAACTGGTTTAACAAAATCAGCATAATCAAAACCAAACAAAATGCAATCCGAGATACATGGTATCATGACACTGACTATCAACAATTTATGTTGAGCCAGGGAAGACTGCAGTCCAATTGACAACGTGTCCGCATGCGCATCATGGTCACCATGCTTTTTCTGCATTGATTCCCAAGCTGCAGCCCAAGCTCAAAAACACCTGAACGCATAGACAATACATACACGACATGTTAACATCATATTAGGGCTGCCACTAATGACTATTTTTCTGTGGAATAATCTAACGACCATTTTACCAATTGGTTGATGATTCTAAATGATCCATTTTCGTCCAAAATTCAAACTGACCGTTTAATTTATTTTTAATTTGACCCCAGCTTTTCGGAACTATATGGGCGTTATTTTCAGCCACAATTCAATATTAGTAGTATGAATAAAATATTAACGAGATGCATATTGCGATGCCCAAAAGTTAGTAATCTGTATAAATTCCCAGACTCCCCATGTCTACCCCGTGTGTCTGCAGGTATTTTCAGAGCGGTGTTGTGACTTCAAAAATCCTAAGAAAAAACTGAGCAATCAAAACTGTGTCGTACCTCATTAAAGCCTCCAAATACCCCTTTGCTTTGACATGAACTGTTGCTCTCAGGTTCTCCTGGCCTTCAAGAATTTTCAGCGTCCTGATGACATCAACACACACTGTTCTGGCTTTTTGAAGGACCCACAAATCCTCTTAAAGGCAACATCCTTGGCCCACCATCATGTTTCTCTGATAATCGAAAGGCGCTTGTGTCGACTGTCCTGGCTTCTCTGCTCCCACACGTTCATCCTCATGAAAGAAGACAACAATGTCATTCATTAATGAGAAGAGGGACCCACTGCAAATGGCCACTTCAGTTGTGTCAGCCAAAACCAGGTTTAGCACCTGTGCGTAACACTACAGACCTTCAGCTTGCGTCTGGTGCATCTTCTTACTTTTTTCTATGCACTCTGCAAGATGTTCCTTCATGCATACATCATATTTCCCAAGAAAAATTATTAGCTCTAAAAAGTCCCCATGATCAATGTTCATGTCCTCCAGAGTGTGTCCCACTGTAGCTGTATACAGACTTAACTATGTCTACAACACATTCCAGCACCTGCCATCTCTCCTGTACTTGATCTCTGTGGCCAACCATTTGGGGACCATATAGCAGACTGGCTATATCAGCTTTTGATGCCCTTAAAATGAGCTTCTGCATTCCACCTACGTAGGGAGTACTTTCATCTGTCCTGGCAAATGCTGATCAAACTGTACAATAACATGGAATTCTCTTCATGGTATGAGTCATTTGCAAACGGTACCATCTTTACAATTGAACACTCTCTATAACGACAGGTTTTTGGGCTTTTGCTGAGGTTGGTAAGTAAAAAAATTGTTTTAGGCTGTGACTGTTGGACTTGGGGCGTAAAATATTGTTAGGTAGAGTCATTATTCTGGCACTTTCCTGCACTCTGCCTGTCATCTTTCGTGCTGCAACTATCTTCAACCTGAATAAACAAATGACTGATAAGATACGTTGTAGGATATTATTGATTGTATCATCACCATCATCATCATCATCATCATCATCATGCAAATCCAGTTGATAGAAGCCACCTATAGTGAGAGAGGAGGCAATGGTGACCCTAAATAAATGTACTGTAGGCTATTGTGTCCCTGCCAGGCTACTTACCGCTACCTGCTGCTAATGCTAATTTCCCTCTGCTGTCTGTCCCTCATCCGGAGCAGTGCTTAGGCTGTCAACGCCTAGGACAAGGACATCACTGCTGCAGCCAAAAAGCTCTCTAGTTTAGTTTAGGTTTAATCCATCTGTTTTGGTCCACATTTAACCCAAGATGGACATCTTTTTCGGACCACAAATAACCCTAATAGAGTCATGGTACCGATCTGCACACCCTGCAATACATCTCCAGGATGTTAGCGTATTCCCAATAGCGGGTTCGGAGTTAAACCTTAACTCGGACACCGTGGTTAAATTATCCTTATTTATAGTTTTCCGGCTGTAGCATCTTACAACAAAATCAAGCAACAGATTTCCAGATTTCTTTACGGACTAATTTCAATTGATACATCAGTGTTTGCAGATGCACTTCACACTCCACAGCTGTCATGCCTACAGTCACTCAATCAGTCACAGTGTAATAAATACATAGGCCTATAAAAATACATAATCTGATAAATTTACATTATACTGTGTCCGTTAAAAGAGTAGAATTAATGGGCTAATAACTATAAAACTAAATAGCTGTCACTCGCTTACAGTCATTGGAAACTGAATGTTGTGCACGTGAAAGTATGAGCATTTTATTTTTTTGCACAGGTGTTATATAGATAAAAATGACTTCCAAATTGTTCACCAGTACAAAGTCACACCAAACATTTATCTTAATTTAATCTTCATTTATGTTAATTCTTGTGTTTATTTCTCCAATGGAGCTGTGCAATTAATTGAATTTCAATGACAATTGGGATAATGGCGTCCCACGATTATGAAAAAAATGATAATCGAGAAAAAACTATTTGTTTGAATCTCATATTGAAATGATGCCCTACTGTATCTTGTGCAATAAATCCAGATCGGCACACTATGTTTTCAGCAGTGTGCTTTGTGTCACATCATGTCTATCTGCCCCTCCTGTTTTCTCCCTAGCGAGGCTCTAACGGGCCACGTCTGTTTTGCATTTGTGTTACCTCTCCAGCTGCCTCGACTCCTGCTCCCGCATCCTTGCCTGCTTGCAAGATCAAGACAAAATGGGCTCAAGTCCGATAAGAGGCCAAAGTCAGGTCGAGCAGTCTGGAGACCGGTCTCAAGACCAAGACTGGATCTCGAGAACTACAGTACAACACTGGCAGAAACAACTTTGTACTGTAACGCTCTCAGTAGAGTTCTGTTTGTGGCTTAGGCTACATTAATAAACAGCCTCAATCATCATCATTGGTTTTGTGATGTTACTTGTTACAAATACCTTGACTGGTATAGCATTGTGAGGACTCTGCTAGTGACTGTTTGTACGGGTCTGGGTGGTGGACATATTTGGGAGAAAGTCGGGGGCTGTTTTTTAGTCCCAGTCTGTCCCTGACTGTGCCCCAGTGTACAAAGTAGTGGTGGGAAGTTTGATTCAATTTACAGAATCGATTCTATGGAACTGTCCATGTAAATGAATCGAACATTCGATTTAAAATGTTTGGGGGGGGGGGGGGGGGGGGGGGGGGGGGCGTACATGCTGCTGCACTTTGTTCAATTGCCATATCGGGCCAAATATAAGATGACCCCGATTGTAAGAGGACAACCCACCACTATTTGGCAACTGTTTCTAGAAAAGTCTTTGGAATACCAAATCTTACCTTTATAAAGAAAAACCTTTTTTCTTGACAAGAACATATAATAAGTTAACCAGCAACCTCAGTTTAAAAAGCAATCATAGGCAATCGAATTACGATAAGTGTATTAAATACCAAACATTCCAGAAAAAAAAAACCAAATGTATTATTTTTGGGGGGGGGGGGGGCACTCAGCAGGAATGAAGACATGAGACAGTGTGAGGAGCATCAGCGGTGACACACGGGGGTAGAAAATGGATATAACAAACTCCACAGCCCTTGATGGTGCAGAATGTTTTCGATGCAGCAGACCCACATGAAGGGGGTAAAAAAATATATTGTGGAGAAAGGTTGAGCCATATTAATAAATGATAAATGTGACAGCTCTTTTAAAATGAATTACTGTCTTTATTAATAGCCATTATCGGTTTAATGCTAGCAGCAGCACAGACAGGGAAGTCAACACTTTACACGACACTCAGGGATTCCCACTAAACACACTGTTAGCAGGAAGGAAGGGGTGGCTCGGTGGTTAGCACTGTTGCCTCGTCATGCTTTTTCTAGGAAGTCGTGAGGCCTGATCAACCTCGTTTTCCTCCAAAATTCACTAACTGAAGTAGAAGGGTGTTTTCTACTTCGTTTGTGCCCAGTGGTGTCTGGGGATGGTGTTATACCTATAGAACAGAGGTGCCCAATACGTCAATCGTAAAGGTGTGGCTAGACAGAGAATGGCCTATCATCAATCTGCACTATGACATTCGTCATTTTATTGCAACAGCGGGTACGCCATGTTGGTGCGTTTTCTCTCGTGCTTTTCTTTGCTAAAGGACAGGAGAGGTAAGCAGCGTTTCAGTGCGCTTTTCAGAGAAATAGCTTAACAAACCAATAAAATGTAAAACAGTTTAATTAATTGGGGCTAAATTATCATGGTTGTGGGTTATTTTGATTTATATATAAGTATATTTTATCGCCGACAGTTTGCCGGCCTAGCTAAATTATTAGCTTAGCATAGCCACGTGCTTCAGCTGAGCGCACATAGCTTTGTTTAAAGCACATTTTCCTTGGTTTGTGTGGAGCCGAGTGCCTAGGGTGCCGATCGCCTGGGGTGCCGAGTGCCTGGGGTGCCGATCGCCTGGGGTGCCGATCGCCTGGGGTGCCGAGTGCCTGGGGTGCCGATCGCCTGGGGTGCCGAGTGCCTGGGGTGCCGAGTGCATTTATAATGAACCCTCTGTTTT